ATAATAATAATAATAATAATAATAATAATAATAATAATAATAATTTACCTTTAAAGAAAATTATTGTGCTGTCGAGCCATCTCTCATAACCAGCATCTACGTCATCTGGTAAACCGTACCAGAAGTGTGTATTTAGATCACCGTCAATATCGGTGACAAGCACACCTGGTCGTTGAATTCTCCAGTATCTACCTTTCTATGAAATGAATTTCAAATTGTTGTTATTGGTACATTACTATTGCTGTATTTGAAAAATATACTGCCACCATGTAAGTTTGAAAAAAAATTGCTTAATTTTTATGTTTAGATTCTAAATTTTAAAGATTTACTGTCCCTGGAAAATGACCAAAATCATAAAAAATAATCTTTAAATTAACTTGCTCATTTTGCAGTAACATACAAATTATTAACTTGAGCATAGAAATTATTATATATATTGTAATATATAATAATAATAATGATAATAATAATAATAATAATAATAATAATAATAATAATAATAATAATAATAATAATAATAATAATAATAATAATAATAATGTTTCAACTAAAAATTATGGTAATAAATAGAGAAAACCTATTTTCCTCATAGTAAGAGCAAGTATTTTCCCTTAAAAAATAATCAACGTTTTAATAATAATATTTCTATGATCTTTGCATATCCTATAAGCAAGTAAATTTAAGGATGTGCGTAATAAAATGTCATTTAATAGGTGTAGTGCGCAGAGCACAATTTTATAGACCTTGTCCGCAGCCATTGTGCAGTACGTTTACCTGGAATGCAAATATTTCTCCTCTAAGATAACCGACTGCAGTGAATATTTTATTACATCCTTCGACATCACTCGATGTGTAAGTAGGTCTCGGGCCACCTGGGTTCGGATTCGTTCGGGAACCTGTGAAAAAAAAATCAGTCACATTATTTGATTTATTTTTTGCATTATTCAATTTCCTTGCCAAATATTTAAACACAGATTAATACCTAAATATTTCAATTAAATCGCCTATTCTTCTACGACATGACAACATTAAGACTTTATTGCAGCAAGGAAAATAAACATATTTAAAAGCAAATAAATTTATCTAAAGTTTACCAACATCTCTTGTGTTTGTGGTGGTTATTCATTCTGAATAATGTAATGTAATGTGGTTCGATTTATATAGCGCTTTATACCGAAGTCTCAAAGCGCTCGAGGTGTGGACTAGACCGAACAGTAACTTTCTTCTCCCCTAAGGGTCTCTACGTGTATGAGCACCCGGTAAACGTGTACCAGCTATCCCTCGTCTGTCTACACCAGGGGATGTAGGAACCAGTACACCAGGCTAACCTCCTACTCGTCTCGAAAGATGTACTGGGCTCTTTATAGTGCACTCGAGCCATTGTATACCTGGGCTTACGGTTTATAGTCCTTATCTGAGAAGACTCGTTCCATCACCAGAACCATAGGCGAACGTGCCGTTCGAACCAGCGCCTATAATAGAATGCGGCGCCCCTGTCTTAACGCTCGGCCATCCAACACGCCCGAGTAATGATATGTTATCAAATAAATAAATACATTAAGAAACACATTTTTAATAAGCAACTATAAATACTGTACAATCATTAAGATCAGAGGCCTATGGTGAACGGTCACCATATGTTGAACGGTCGTCATATAATATCACAATTAAATTTCACTATATATAATCTTATAAGCCTATTATTAAAATATTAAATTATTGGCTTCCGAAAATGCACATAATATGACACGATGATGGAGAGGAAAACAGTTTAAGTGAATTGCAATTTCAAAAACTTTAACAACATATGCAACTGTATTAGAATTGTCATAATTAAATTTTCAATATTTACAATAATTGATATAAAGGACCTGTTAATAATAAAAATCGTTGCTTGATCCAAAATTGTATAATTATTTGAAGCCATATATAGACCCATGATTGTTTTATGATGCAAATTACGGGTCAGCCAATGATTTTTACTATACCATATACGGCTTGGATTCCTCTTATGTCATCACTGTGCAAGAGCAATGAGGGTTGATAGCCCGTGAAAACAGGATACATAAGTGCGCCATAGACGTTCGTATGCAATAATCCGAGTGAGTGTCCAATCTCATGGGCGGCAATATGAAGTAGATTGAAGTCTAAAAAGAATTAATATGTTACCATCAGTTATTTTATAATTATCTTTCTTGCATTTTCTTTAGCAGGGCCGCCGTGTCCATTATTGCCATTGTGAGCTTCGGGTGTGTGCAAAGATGGAGGGGTCAGGTGTTGGCGGGGGGATGTGGAGAGGTGCAGAGATGGTTCGATTAGAGTTCTTTTTTCATTACTATGGCAAATTTAATCCTGGATAACATAAATAAGCTCACTACGACTAATATACAGTATGTCATGTAATAAATATAATTGTGCTAGTTTTTTCAATTGAATTTTATACATCCGTTATTAAACAACAATTATACAGCCTTTGACACGAGGTCTATTATTCATGGGTTCAAATACGTCACAGGCTACTCAGTATAAATCATTATTTTTATGAGTTAGTTTGCAAGAAATTTATAAGAGGGCATGATTATGATTAATGAAGATAAATTGAAAAACTTTGTATGGGGAGTATTTCAGTAGCGGCAGATTCAGGGGCCCAGCAGCAGTGGTTGTGCCAGCGGGGTACTGGGGAGCTAGGGCCCCCGTCGAGGAGAAAACCACAATTCGTCGGGGAGATAAATTGTACCGCCTATATGCATTTTCTACATATTAGTAGACTCGATCCAAAATCGATTAAATAAGCCTTTCAAACTCCTAAACTGTCATATTTTTCACGAAGTTTGGCCCCTGGACCACTTTCGAGAGATTTTGAGCGAGGCCCAACCAGTCCCACTCTTTTTTGTCGGAACATCAAATCCTGGCACCACCACTGCCCAGCAGGCCCACCCTTCCATTTTTTTTTTGAAATTTAAAATTGGAGAAAAAATCGTGGTGCTTCCAGGTTATCACAGAACTGAGCTGACACTAAGGGGGCATAATTGGCCAAATCAAAACGGTAGAAAAAAAATATCAGCGTCCAGGTTGCCATTTGGCCTTTTTGACGGCCTGATTCTTCAAATCTGGTAGTATAAAAATTCATCTGCCCGTAACGTTTGAAAATTCACGGCCAAACTATATTTTGTGAAATGTCATTTCCATAAATTTCCTAACCTCAGCCCCAGCCATAATGGGGTTGAGGTAGTCTACACTCCATCTGTACAAGTTCTTCCATGGGCCCCATTTATTTCGAATTCCATCCACCACTGTATATTTGAAAATGTATAGGGTGTGGAAATAAATGTTAATTGCATTCCTTAAACTCAATTAGATACGACTTATAAAAGGCTACAGGCGCTATGCAACCCCCTGGCTCCCAACCAAAGCTTCGACCGACGGCCCAAAAGGTTTATTTTGCAATTCGTCCCCTCTCCCCACTCAACTATGGATCGAATCCCTTGAATACAACTATGCCAAACAAGTAATATACACTATAAATACTGTCTCTTATACACATCTCACTCGAGCCATTGTATACCTGGGCTTACGGTTTATAGTCCTTATCTGAGAAGACTCGTTCCATCACCAGAACCATAGGCGAACGTGCCGTTCGAACCAGCGCCTATAATAGAATGCGGCGCCCCTGTCTTAACGCTCGGCCATCCAACACGCCCGAGTAATGATATGTTATCAAATAAATAAATACATTAAGAAACACATTTTTAAGAATCCGATATTCTATTGTGACCAACAAGTAGTGATATATTCGCTAATGACAATGGTGTTTGTGTCCTGTGCCTTAATAAATAAATATAAATTTTTGAATTTTTAACGTTATTAACCTGCAATGTAAAACTATAATCCTGAAATTGTTGCAGTGGTGGCGTCGGTGGTGTGAGAGTATTCAGAGGGAACAAGACTATGCTACGGGGTGTCCGGGGAATGAACCCCTGTCAGAAAAAAAGCCAATCATTTCTTTAGGGAACATTGATGATAAAGCATTTTCACAGTCTGAGCATGGAGGAATTAGTGGTCTGATATTGCCATTTTCTGACGTCTTGAGGTGCCTTTCTAAATTTTGCTCTCGTTGGGGCTCTGCAAGATGGATGTAGAACACCTGTCGGGGACCTCGCCTCCTCGCCGCCACTGGTAAACCTCAACATTATTTTAAAAAAAATATCCGTCTTTTCACTCAAATGAAATTCACACCACTTTCTCCAATGAAGTTCATTATCAGGCCTAGGCGTATATAGTTTTTGGTCTCAATTTGCACATTATTTTTGTTTTTCTCTCAGCCTTCTCAATAGATCCTACTTCATTTTACATCATTTTATTCTGTTTTATCAATAGTATAAACTTTTTAACAAAAACGCTTCAAAGTATGCATATATCCAATTTAAATCATTTTAATAAAAAGAAATAAACATATAACGCTTAAATGATAGATTAGGCCTATATGTGTAGGCCTATAAATACGTATAATTTCCTTTCATGTGACTCAAGGGAGGTTTTTAAACGTTACCAGCTCTATAGTACGGTACGGTACGACCGTTTAATTGACAAGGCATACTTATATGTAACCAGTGTCTGCAAAATCACCTAGGCCTATCTATAAAAAAAGATATTCTAATTTTCCATATTTTTTATTTATTAATTTATTTATTCTGTTTTATTTTAAGATAGAGATACATATCTTAATGTACAACAAATTCTAAAGTAATTAGAAAAAATACTATTGGCTGAATATAGGTAAGTCTCTCTCTAATTAAAGACCCTTTCAATTAAACACCATTTTTCTGTGGTCCCAAATTAAAAAATGCCTATTCTCTTTATCATTCTAATTATAGACCGAAGCGTTAAAGACCATGGAACCCCTCACCCTCACACACCCTCCCCGCCACAAAAGTGGTTTTAATTGGAGGGAGATCCTAGGCTATTATTAGGCCACTGATAAAAAAATATGTTTCTCGTCCTGCCTTTGAATCTCCCATACACAGAGTAGTAGGCTTATATACTTATATAGGCCTTTGCTAAAACCTAGGGTATAGGCCTACTTAATGCTTAAGAGAACATTTGGATGTAGGATTTTCTGAATCATTGTTTGAGAAAGTTAATATAATAATATTCAATAATTTGATAAGCCTAAATAGTTGACTTATTTATTGACTATTTAATTAATTATAGATTACTTAGAATGCAAAAAATAAAGTTATGAGAGAGGAAGCGACAAGGAACGAGATGGAGACAGCAACAGTAACCGTTCCAGTGTTCCTTACAGTGTATTCCGCTGTGTTGCAGGCCAGGAAATCGACACCAAATAAGCGAGGAAAGCCCACCGAGTCGGCCTCCTGTCGCAAATTATTGTATCGATAGTATTTCTTTCCTTTCAAAAAGTATGTATTACCTGATGACAAAAAGAGAAAATATAACATTATTATAAATAGACCTAATCGTAATAAGATACTACAGTCACAACATTACTTTGTCTACCGTGGGTTTTCAGAGGTTTGAACATATACAGCGTCTTTTTCTGGGTAGTTCACTTTTCTATATAGATATTTAGTAAACACTCTTTAAGAATAGGTTATATAATTGTATAGGCCTCCATACACAATTGTATGCCTGTTGAAGTCGGAAATTGTTCCTTACCGTTTTTATATCTGAAGGCCGCTGATAAGTCACTAGGAATTCCCTTAAAAACCTCAGAGATAGGGCGAGGGTACCCAGGGTCTATTTCTCGCCTGTTTTCGTCGTAGCACCACACCAAATCATCCCTAAAGAAGTACGTTTTATAGTATTCGCCGAACGTCAAGACCGCATCGATGTTGTTGGGGAGTGACTTAATAGAAGAAGGGACAGTGAATTCCGATATCGGTAAAGGTCCTTGCATCAGGTGGTTTCCATTGAACAGATAGTAATTTTCACCTGAAGTTAAAGGGACAATAATCGTTAAAATCAAAGAAAGCATAGGCCTACTATAATGAAAGTAATAAAAACAAATATTTTTTCTGATAAACTAAATATATCTTATACTTACTTGGGGTTACATTCTTATAATCTTACTCCAAAGTTTCATTAAAAAGACGATGTTTATATTTGGTCATAACTGGCAAATAATAATAATAATAATAATAATAATAATAATAATAATAATAATAATGATAATAATAATAATATTAATAATAATAATAATATAAAAATATGATAATGATGGTAATAGTAGTAATGATTGTGATAATGATAATAATGATGGTGCTGATGATGATGATGATGATGATTATGATGATGACAATAACATGAACAGTAAAAAGTCACAATAACAAAAACAATAATAATAATACTATCATTAATAAAAATAATAATAATAATACAAAAATATGATAATGATTGTAATAGTAGTAATGATTAATGATTGTAATAATGATAATAATGATGGTGCTGATGATGATGATTATGACGATGATGATGACAATAACATGAACAGTAAAACGTCACAATAACAAAAACAACAATAATAATAATAATAATAATAATAATAATAATAATAATAATAATAATAATATTAATAATATTATTATTAATAATATAATAATAATAATAATAATAATAATAATAATAATAATAATAACTATCACTAACTGGACTTAAGGGAATATCTTTTGTGTTATTTTCTATACTTTCTCTATTGTCTATGTTCCCCTTAAGGTAAGTTTTAGTAACATAATAATAATAATAATAATAATAATAATAATAATAATAATAATAATAATAATAATAATAATAATAATATTAATTTACCTTTAAAGAAAATTATTGTGCTGTCGAGCCATCTCTCATAACCAGCATCTACGTCATCTGGTAAACCGTACCAGAAGTGTGTATTTAGATCACCGTCAATATCGGTGAGAAGCACGCCTGGTCGTTGAATTCTCCAGTATCTATCTTTCTATGAAATGAATTGAAAATTGTTGTTATTGGTACATTACTATTGCTGTATTTGAAAAATATACTGCCACCATGTAAGTTTAAAAAAAAATTGCTTAATTTTTATGTTTAGATTCTAAATAAAAAAAATTAAAGATTTACTGTCCCTGGAAAATGACCAAAATCATAAAAATAATTTTTTAATTAACTTGCTCATTTTGCAGTAACAAACAAATTATTAACTTGAGCATAAAAATTATTATATATATTGTAATATATAATAATAATAATAATAATAATAATAATAATAATAATAATAATAATAATAATAATAATAATAATAATAATAATAATGTTTCAACTAAAAATTATGGTAATAAATAGAGAAAACCTATTTTCCTCATAGTAAGAGCAAGTATTTTCCCTTAAAAAATAATCAACGTTTTAATAATAATATTTCTATGATCTTTGCATATCCTATAAGCAAGTAAATTTAAGGATGTGCGTAATAAAATGTCATTTAATAGGTGTAGTGCGCAGAGCACAATTTTATAGACCTTGTCCGCAGCCATTGTGCAGTACGTTTACCTGGAATGCAAATATTTCTCCTCTAAGATAACCGACTGCAGTGAATACTTTATTACATCCTTCGACATCACTCGATGTGTAAGTAGGTCTCGGGCCACCTGGGTTCGGATTTGTTCGGGAACCTGTGAAAAAAAATCAGTCACATTATTTGATTTATTTTTTGCATTATTCAATTTCCTTGCCAAATATTTAAACACAGATTAATACCTAAATATTTCAATTAAATCGCCTATTCTTCTACGACATGACAACATTAAGACTTTATTGCAGCAAGGCAAAAAAAATAAATTTATCTAAAGTTTACCAACATCTCTTGTGTTTGTGGTGGTTATGTGAGCTTCGGGTGTGTGCAAAGATGGAGGGGTCAGGTGTTGGCGGGGGGATGTGGAGAGGTGCAGAGATGGTTCGATTAGAGTTCTTTTTTCATTACTATGGCAAATTTAATCCTGGATAACATAAATAAGCTCACTACGACTAATATACAGTATGTCATGTAATAAATATAATTGTGCTAGTTTTTTTAATTGAATTTTATACATCCGTTATTAAACAACAATTATACAGCCTTTGACACGAGGTCTATTATTCATGGGTTCAAATACGTCACAGGCTACTCAGTATAAATCATTATTTTTATGAGTTAGTTTGCAAGAAATTTATAAGAGGGCATGATTATGATTAATGAAGATAAATTGAAAAACTTTGTATGGGGAGTATTTCAGTAGCGGCAGATTCAGGGGCCCAGCAGCAGTGGTGGCGCCAGCGGGGTACTGGGGAGCTAGGGCCCCCGTCGAGGAGAAAACCACAATTCGTCGGGGAGATAAATTGTACCGCCTATATGCATTTTCTACATATTAGTAGACTCGATCCAAAATCGATTAAATAAGCCTTTCAAACTCCTAAACTGTCATATTTTTCACGAAGTTTGGCCCCTGGACCACTTTCGAGAGATTTTGAGCGAGGCCCAACCAGTCCCACTCTTTTTTGTCGGAACATCAAATCCTGGCACCACCACTGCCCAGCAGGCCCACCCTTCCATTTTTTTTTTGAAATTTAAAATTGGAGAAAAAATCGTGGTGCTTCCAGGTTATCACAGAACTGAGCTGACACTAAGGGGGCATAATTGGCCAAATAAAAACGGTAGAAAAAAAATATCAGCGTCCAGGTTGCCATTTGGCCTTTTTGACGGCCTGATTCTTCAAATCTGGTAGTATAAAAATCCATCTGCCCGTAACGTTTGAAAATTCACGGCCAAACTATATTTTGTGAAATGTCATTTCCATAAATTTCCTAACCTCAGCCCCAGCCATAATGGGGTTGAGGTAGTCTACACTCCATTTGTACAAGTTCTTCCCTGGGCCCCATTTATTTCGAATTCCATCCACCACTGTATATTTGAAAATGTATAGGGTGTGGAAATAAATGTTAATTGCATTCCTTAAACTCAATTAGATACGACTTATAAAAGGCTACAGGCGCTATGCAACCCCCTGGCTCCCAACCAAAGCTTCGACCGACGGCCCAAAAGGTTTATTTTGCAATTCGTCCCCTCTCCCCACTCAACTATGGATCGAATGCCTTGAATACAACTATGCCAAACAAGTAATATACACTATAAATAAGTCTCATATTATTTGGACTAACTTTGAGTGTTCTGAGTGAACCTTTCCGAATCGTCAAAATGGATATCTCCATCAAGAAAAGTTCCAGGGAAGTAGGCGTGAGCAATGGCGTTACCGGTCCCATCAAAAGGGCGATAATCGCCGTGATAATACGAAACAAAGCTCAGGTAAATATCCGCATAACCGGTGGTTTCTTGGAACGTTAAAGGAATATAGTCACTCCACATTTTGAAAGCTCTATGAATGATCGCATTTACTTCGGAATCCGATATTCTCTCACGTGTCGCTGCGTTTCTCGGGTAGTTTAAGATTCTGAAACGAAATGATCTGTACCATTTAATGGAATAATCCGATACAAAATTTATATGACGTATAAATTAGCAAATTTGAAACATGAACAGAAGTATTAATAATGATTGGCCTATGCCTTAAACAGCAACGTTGTTCATTGATTCAATAGGCCCCTATAATCCTTCTTAAGGTGGTGTTGTTTTACATAATCACAAAATATTGACCAACAGGTAAAATAATGCACACAAAATCTGGGAAACTATTATAAATTATTGAGGGCAATTCATCTACGGAAGCTGATCATGACCCACGATTCCCCCTACCCAAGTCTCCTTGAGAGGGCAGGAGAGTGGAATTTTTAAACCAGGCCTACTATAGCCGCATAAAGTGTCCCCTCGTATTTGGCCCTTTCGTAAGCCCGCCATGCCAACCCTGAGTCGCCGTGAACAAAATTATGTAGTTTCTAGGCATGCACAAGACATTTGCGTCGTAAATAAAGGCGATCGAGTTTGCGAGAAGAAACTCAATCTAGGACGAGTATTTTCTCACATTACAAAAAGTTTGCTGATCACACACAAACTAACTTTCGAGTCTCAATGAGTGTAGGTCTAGTGAATCTATTTTTCTTCGCTATGACAATGCAAATCCCAATACATTTTAAGATATTTAATAAAACCAAAATTTAACAAAAATTGAAACTAGATAAAAAGTCATAAAACTTTGCAACAAGTTTCATGAGATCGAAAAGCGGTAGACGCTGTTTAGTGTGGTTTAACATTACATCGGCAGCCTGGGCATCCTAATTTAATTGTAATTAGCCTAGGTATCAATTGACCTCAAAAGGTGCTATGCTAGCTATCTTATTTTTTATATGAATTTTTGAAGTTTTAATACCACCACCCTAAAGACCGGATTAACCAATACTAGCAAAAATGATTAAATACTGTACTAGCTAAGCTAAGCCATAGCAAGAGGTCATTGTACTATTCTAGAGCAGGCCTAGGCTAGCGCCACTTGATCCACTATAGCTAGAACAGTATTACCATTAGTCGCCTATAGTTTTTTCATTATTTCTTCCAGGGGTGGCGCCCCTTCCGGGCTGTCTCTTATACACATCTAGATGTGTATAAGAGACAGGCTTAACATAGCATTTAAAACATATTCACAATAATATTATAATCACTTTGCTACAAAATAGATTACATTATAAATAAGTCTCTGTAAAGCTCGGTTTCCATTAAAAATCGCTACACGCTATCGCCGACTCCTCTGGCGATGCTGATTGGTCAGTTGAATCAGGAAGTGTTCCCGATTGCGTCAGGGACAGCTACGCAGTGCAAGGAT